AAATAAAAGCATGAATAATCCTTTCAAAATCACTAGAGGACAGAAACGGTTTAACCTTTGCTATTGATCTAAATAGAAGAAATAAGATTTGACCACGGAGTTGATCAGTTTATCAAATTTCAAAGAACTATCAAATTGGACACCAAGGTTCTTCACCACAGATTTATAGAAGGGAGCTAAATTGCTCAAGTCAAAAGAGTTTTGGGTGTCAGGAGCCCCGAACCAGATTATTTCAGTTTTGCTTTCATTCAAATTCAGATAATATTGTGACATCCAAGATTTAACTTCATGTAAACAACTCAATAGTGACTCAAAAGAGCTTTTATCCTGTTTCTGCAAAGGTAGATACACCTGAGTGTCATCTGCGTAACAATGAAAATATACTCCATGCTTATGAAACAAGACTGGGCCGAGAATGGATCCTTGTGGAACTCCACTAGATAATGGGGCAGTTTTAGAGTAATGTTGACCAAAATGGACTGAAAACGTCCTATTAAAAAGAAAGGATTTGAACCACTCAAGTGCCATACCCCAGATTCCCACTATCTTTTCTAGACGAGAGACAAGAATATTGTGATCAATGGTATCAAATGCTGCACTGAGATCTAGTAAAACTAAAACCACTGAGCTGCCTGAATCAATCGAAATAAAAATATCATTTAAAACTTTCAATAAGGCCGTTTCTGTACTATGACTTGCTTTAAACCCTGACTGAAATTTTTCAAAGATCTCATTTTGAACTAGATAGGTCTGCAATTGGTTTAATGCGACTTAATTTAAAGCTGTTTTAAACTTTTATTGTTTTGATGCTCAAAAACACCCTTTTGTCTCTTTTATATAAACTGAGTGGCCAAGTGATATCAGTGGAAAAGGGAGGTCATTTCAGAGCAAAAGTTAGTTATTATATTTAGATTTGATATTACAAAGACAAACTTTTCTCTTTAGAACAGTATCCAGCGATCAGTCATTCACAGAAAGATCAGGAACATTGAGCAAGGTAAACAGAATTCCAATTTCATGTTGGCTTTGAGAAAAAAGAATGTCCAGATCGATATCTCTGGTGAACAATGAAAAGAATTTGCAATATAAATATTGTGAGATGTTTTGAAGCATGACAGTCTCTTTGTTTGTGAATAGATTTAATGACTTTCAGTCTCCTATGATTGTTTCTCTTAAGTTAAGCAGAAGCTTCCAAAGGTAGCTGTACTGGAAAAGGTGATGTCATATCAAGTTCAAATTATAGAGTTGCCAAAGAACCACACCTCACCATTACGCAAGAAGTGAAGTTCAAATGTTTCAGCTTCTCTCTAGCACACATTACTCCTCTTTCACACATTTTAAATGGTCATTAAGCGATCATATTGAATAGGCCAGCTAGTGTCTACATGCTGCAGCCCACCGCAACCAGCTAATGGGAGGAGAAAATGTTCCATTATGTTTAATAGAAGGTTTTGTGGGGTAGTTATAGAGCGAACATGCACTTGGCAGCAAAATTACTGCAGTCTAAAGGAAAGCAACTAGAGTCTTTGTAAGAGAAATCGAGAGAGCAGCCTTGTGTCTTATTTTCTTTAATAATGATATTTTTGTTTTAACAACACAAATGTCTACTTTATGTTGTGTGAAAGGCTTGAAAATAGAGTTAATGATTACATTTAGTTTTACTGAACTTGAGTCAATGCAAGTTGTGTTGTGGTAGTAACAATTGGTGACTCAGCTGCTCAGGTTGAACATTTCTATAATCTCTTCCACTGTCATTCTTTCTTTTTCCTTTGTACTTTATATGCTGTTGCTCTATATTGTTTCCTCCACATACTGTGTGAAACTTTCTACTTTATACCTAAAACCCACATCAGTTATTATCGAGCTATTAAACCACTCCTCCATTCTGCTGCACATCCATTATTAACTGTGTTGGTGATGATTTTGCAATATGTTTAATGGCTTCAGTGGCTTATGATCACTCTGTTGTGGCATCATCTCACCTCCCACTTTATGTTTTACCTGTATTTATAGCTTCAGATGGGTCACCATTCCTGTCATTTACCCTTCACAGATCTGAATCTATATTCAACCTTTCAATCATGCCACTAACTGACAAATTAATATTAGAGGAATATGAAGGCATGAACAGTGAACAGCTTCTTGGATTTTGTATTTCTATGAAAGCAATTATCAGTCTGATTCCTGTACTATTTTTGGGTTTGGGGAATTTTCTTGGATTTGCTCCCAGAGATATTGAAGAAAACAGGATGTGATCTCCTTTTCTTTCTTTTTTTGTGAGAGGATGACACTGATGTGATCTTGTGTGTAGTATTAGATTAATGTTCACTGTCTGGAGGGATTCCATGCTCCCCGGAAGAAGACATTTGACCTCTGACTTTTGGCCTGACCAAAAGAGGAAATGTTTTAAATAGAAATTAGCAAACTAAGGGGTCAAGGTTTCGCTATGGTTTAGTTAGTCTCTCTGTTGGAAAATGCCATGAGTGCACCGCAAAATGCATCACCCGTTTAACTTTTTTTTTTTTTTTTTTTAAAGGCATAATATAATATAATATAATATAATGTGATTACGTTTTTGTCAGGATTCCTTGATAAATAGAAAAAAAAGCACTTTTTTCTAACCATGTAAAATACTTAACTGTTAATTGTTGATCATTATAATGTATTCGCTGAAAAAAATAATTAATTTCTTTAAAAAACAATATAATGTATTGTAATATAATTACAAAGCTTTTTAAGACTAAAGGACATTTGATTTATGTTAAATAAATAAAAAACCTATGTCTTTCTCTTTATTTATTCCTTCCCTTTCTAGCTTGCACTTATATGAACAATGCCTAAAACTTGGTATTACGAGCACTTCCTGTGTCTGTTTGCCTCTTTAAGATGAATCGCTTTATGTATTCCCCAATTGTAAGTCGCTTTGGATAAAAGCGTCTGCAAAATGACTAAATGTAAATGTAATGTTGCTGCACAAATGTACCAAGCACAATGTAAACAAGGCACACATGCTAATTTCTGAATGAAAAAGAACAAGAAAAAGACATATTGGTGGCATATTACCAGCTAATCAAAGCTAATTAGATTAGAACTGGTTTTGCTTTAGGACTCAGAATTTAAATTGGACATCAAGTGGTGACACAACACAGTACTAAAGTTTTTTATCATACAAAATTGGATTTCAATATTTTATGATCTTGGCAGCCAATTGTTGGCACAATCAGTATATAATATTCAGGATTTTCAAGGATGAGTGCATGTCACACAACCTGTCTATGATGGAATCTACCTAATTTGACCAGCTTCTGCTAAGTCACAGATCAGTCTGAGCCAAAACTAGTTTGATCGGACCCACAACATTTAGCAAAAGTTCTAGGAAAAGTTTTCTCCTTCTCCTTTTTTGAAAGTTGCTAAACATTTAGTTTGATATCCTACTTATGCACAATTATTTGGTTAATTACATTTTGGTGTGGGGTATTTATTTAGTATATATATTTTTTCTCCATACTACAGCAGTTGAGAAACATTGCTTTAGGATTTTGACTCAATGTGTGTGTTTGTGTGTTCAAACAAGGCAGTGCTGGAACTTCAGACTGAAGAGTGTGAGAGAGCTTCAATGAGCTCATAAGAAGTAACTCAATCCGATAAAAGCAGACATGAGTGACACAGTGGAGAACCTGGACACCAGGGACCTGGGGTTCTCAGATGCTGAGGATGAATCTGAAGAGGTGGACTGCGAGTTCAACCCCTCAGGTAAGTGATTATTAATAATATCAGATGCAAATCGTCCATTTGTTTTAGTAGTATTCAGTATTATTATCGATTTGACTGCTCAGATAAAATGTGAAAATTTGATAACATTTTATTACCGTGAAGCTGCTTTGAAACAGTCTGTATCGTATAAAGCACTATATAAATAAAGGCGACTTGACTAGTTTCAGAATGAGTGATACAAGTTAGACTTGAGGAACAAGATTTATTTTGCCAGTAATTTTTCGGAGAGGAAGTGATAAAAGGTTACAGCAGTTCTGTCTTATCAGACATCTGGACTATATGGAACGTGTGTTAAAGGGAGTGATGTGAGGACAACTGTGTAACATGATTGTACGTCACAAACTAGAACTCGCATTCCCTGAAGGCATTCCTCAGTCCGCCCTGTCTTTTCTTACAGGGGTATCCCGTATCCCATTCTCTGCCGTGTACAGGACAGTTGGCTTTAAAGAGACAGAAGCACAGGTCTATCTGAACGCTGCCCCCGTCACTGCCAAGATCCTAGATGTGGAACGCTTCACCAGGGCCCCGGACCGCTTCAACATGTCCAAACACAGGAGCGTGTCCAAGGTGTGTGAAGCACATGCTAGTTAAAAGCAGAGGCTGAAATATATCAGATCTCACATCACTGCTGTGTCCACAGGCAATGCCAGCCGTGTTTAAGATAGAGCTCAAACATGGGAACTTCACCTGGATAGTCAAGAGAAAAGAGAAGCACTTCATGGATCTGCACAGAGAGCTTGTGCGATACAAGACCCTCATGAGGATCCCGCTGCCCACCCGAAGGTCAGACCCCTGCCCTACAGATGAACTTACTCAATGATCCTTTACACCTGGTATGCAGCCTGATTGATTGAAAGAGTTGGAAAAGCCCATACAGATTTCACAGAACATTATTAGTATACAGTGACACTTTATCCTTCAGATCAAAGTGGCTTGATGAGTTAAATAAATTAGCTAATTAAATGAAATTAAATGAATGTTAGATTAAAATGAATGTCTTTGCTTTTTTACTGTTTGTGTTTTATGCAGTTACACAATGATGTAATGAGTCATTTGTCAATTAAGAGACTTTCAATCGCAATCTGATGTGAAAATGAGTACAGCTTTTTGGTCTCAATCGTACACTACTGTTTAAAAGTTTGAAAGTTTAAAAGTATATATATATATATATATATTAAAGGGTCCTATTATGCTTTTTCATTTTTTCAACTTTGGTTAGTCTGTAATGTTGCTGTTTGAGCATAAAAAAGATCTGCAAAGTTACAAAGCTCAAAGTCCACTTCAAAAGGAGATATTTTATTTAACAGAAATCACTTTTACCAACAGCTCTGCTCTCTCTCTCTGGCCTCCGCCTCCTCCCGTCCCACTATTTCAAAAGATGCTGGATCTCCAGGGACGAATCAGCAGATGCGTCTTTTACGTCCAATTAGGGCGGAGTCACCTAAGAGAGAGAAAAAGAGAGACTACTTCCCCAGACGTAACATAATGTAAAATATTGGAAAAATAATGTGTTTTTCGAACAACCTAGTATGAGAGCCTGTTCTAGTACACCCCCAAAACAAAATCAATACTTTGTAAAAGAGCATAATAGGACCCCTTTAAAGAAGCAAATACTTTTTTTCCTGCAAGGGCGTATTACATTTATCAAATATGCGAGTAAAAACTTATTACAAAAAAGTTATTTTTCAAATAAATGCTGTTATTTTGAACGTTCTATTCATCAAAGATTCCTGAAAAAATGTATCAGTTTCCCCCAAAATATTAAGCACCATAACTGTATTCTTCATTGACAATAATAAGAAATGTTTCTTGAGCAGCAAATCAATATATCAGAATGATTTATGATGGGTCATTTGACACTGAAGACTGGAGTAATGACTGAAAAGTTTGACTGTTTAATTGTTGTATTTGATTTTGCATCAAATACAATCTCTTTGTGTCTGTAATTTATATTTATTTCAGCTTCTGTACAGATTGTTAAAGGTGCTGTATGTAATTTTTTTGACTGTACCAAAGCATAAAATACCATAATATGTTAGCAAATATTTAGGAAACATGCTACTTTTCAGTTATTCTACTTTGAAATGTGCAGTCAGTTTGTTTTGGTCTTTGTGATTCTGCCAACTGCCAATTTAATCAAATGTATTTCAAAAACCTGGGTTGCCAGTTGTACAGCCATGGAAGCCAGCAAGCGAACCGAGTCAGAAATCACAGATTGTAGCTTTAATATGTCATCAAAAAAAAAAAAAAGGAAAGAATATTCCCCTTACAGTAAATCCAAGGTATCTAGATAAATTACCTCATTTTTAAGTTAAATTGTGAGAACTTGCCACTCAGGATCTCATGATTATAAATGGCGAAACTACTTTCTCCAACATTTTTCGGGAAAAGCGATAATGTGTCTCAACTGACCACTTGTGATTCAGTGGCCCCAGACGGATCTAAATACCAGGTGTAAAGGATCAATTACTACTCTTTTCATTCTTAAAGTAGCTATAATAATTCTCACTTCCTCTACACTCCTTTGTCCTGTTTTTGTCCTCCAAATATTACTTTCTTTTTCTTTTCTCTGTTTTCATTCTCCATTCTATCTTTTCTCTTCCCCATTCTTTTTTTGTTCTCTTCTCAGAGTTCATGTCTATTCGTTTTCTCCATGAACTGTTTGTCTTTTTTTATTCCTCTCTTTTTCTGTCACAGACTCTGATATCTCTGTCTTTCTTTCAGCCATACAGAGAGAAGAAAGAGCATAAAGAGGAGCGAGGTGAGGCAGATGCCTGCACTGCCTCGGGGAGGTGGAGATGAGTTGGCACGAGAGGAGCAAGTGTCTAGTCGGAGAGTGAGTCACTCCAACATGCTTACAGCAGTACTAGCCCTTGATCACAAACACTGTTGAGCATGACGTGATCTTGATTGTCTCAAGGCGTGTGAGTCTGTGAGAAGGTCTTTCCCACACATCACTGACACGATTTAGTGGTCTCTGAGTGTGTAGTAGCAGCACCCTGCTTCTCATATCATTAGTGCGAGTCACATGAGAACATGACAACATCACTAGGTTCTCATAATCTACTGATGAAATTCTTAATATTCGAGCTGTTGAATAGAGCTTAATATTGATTGACGACTTTTTCAATAGTTTGACATTCGGAAGTATATTTCCTGGTCATTTTCTATGTGGATATTTAAGGAAAATCTTTAGAAAAACTAATGGATAAATAATTTATCAGCTGATTAGCATACAGCTCTTCCTAGTAAATACATTAGGACTAATAGGCAAACATCACTTTCATAATTAATATTTTAGAGTTTATAAATATTTTAGAAAATACTGTATATTTTTTTAGTAATTCTTAATAGTAACTTTCATTAAAGACATTTTAGAAACATTATGTAATGCTATATTTCTGTTATGTTATATTGATCAGATATTAAAAAAACATTTACATAGGTAACGTAATAGAAAGTTAGATTGATATTCTTTATATGATAAAGTATATATTCATTATATGATAAATATAATCAAACATTACATTACAACATAACTAACATTGGTAGCTAGATAGCTAAATAACATTAGCTAGCCTGCAAAAACGGGCTATTATTTTTTGTTTGAGTTTTTCTTTTAAGTGATTTTATGATTAAAACAATAACAAATGTCTGCCAATGTGGTAAGAAAATAAACTTATTTGAATGGAAAACATGACTGACAGTTTGACATTTTTTTTCTGTTTTAATCAAAAACTCACTCAAAAAGGGGTCATATAATGCGATTTCAATTTTTCCTTTCTCTTTGAAGTGTTACAAGCTCTTGGTGCATAAAGAAGATCTGCAAAGTTGCAAAGACTAAAGTCTCAAATCCAAAGAGATATTCTTTATAAAAGTTAAGAGTCAACCACACCTACCTAAAACGGCTCATTCTAACACGCCCCCACATATCTACATCACTATGTGGGAAGATTTGCATAACGCCGCCCAAATGTTCACGCAAAGAAAGAAGGCGTAACTTTTATTCTCGCTGTAGTATTGTTGTTGCCGCCGCCGCCATGCCGTGGAGACACTGTGTTTCGTTGTGAAAGCGAAACTACTTTGTTTAGCCTTCGAAAAGAGGACGATATCTGCTTCGTCATGCCTAGAGCTGATCCGTGCTGGTCGCGGAGGGAATACATCAACTTAGTGCTGCGGAAGCCGGATCGGCTTTCACCGTGGACCATGGAGTCCAGCCCGGGGTCGTGTGGTTGCCGCTCCTTCGTCGGATCCGCCGGGACCGCCGTTCTCAATCCCGCCGCCTCAGCTCACTCTTGCCCGGCTTCAGCTCAGGCTAAGCCGGGGCTTTCGCTCACGCTAGGCCGCTGTGTTTTTCGTTGTGAAAGCGAAACTACTTTGTTAGAACTAGAAATCAGTGGTTAAGTTGTATTTACAACACTGTTCCAGAACACTTCAACCCAAATATTCAGATGTGTGCAGCACATTTTATGGAGGACTGTTTACTGATCCTGGAAGAGTAACGTTAGACTAAAATGCCGGCAGTTCTGACTCACGTAAGTACGTTTTCATTTAAAGAATTTGACTGATGATTCAAACGCGAGTTTTGAGCAGTGTAGAGTAGCGCTTGTTGTTTGTCATTTCTCCGATCACAAATGCAGACATGGTTTTATGTTTACGCGGCGCAATGCAACGCAACGCGTAAAAAGACAGTATAAGTCATTATAATCAGTAATTATGTCCCCACTGGATGCAACAAATGAATCATTTGTAATGGGTTTTATTGGTTTTGTCTCATCGCATGGAAACACAGTATGGTAGGGGCGTAACATTTCCGTCACACGCTTGAGGTATTCGGCCAATCACAACGCATTGGATATCTGGCCAATCAGAGCACACCTCGCTTTTCAGACCGATTAGTTTTGTAAAAATCGACGCGTTTCAAAAAGGCGGGGCATAGAGGAGAAACAATAATGTACAGTATGTGGAAAATAATGTGTTTTTTTTACTTTAAACCGCATAAACACATTTCATTACACCAAATACACAAAATAATGTTCTTTTTAGCAGCATCATATGACCCCTTTAAAGTTAAAACACCTTAATGATGGATTGGTTTCTTACAAGCTTTGTGCTTTGTGCTTGTAATTCACAAGACTTTAATGGATGGACTGGAGTCGTGTGGATTACTTGTTGGCTATAGAGATGCTTTTATCAGCTATTTGAACTGTCTTTCTGACGGCACCCATTCACGGCAGAAGATCCATTGGTGACCAAGTGATGTAATGCTAAATTTCTCAAAATCTCTTTCGATGGAGAAACAAACTCAAGTACATCTTGGATGGCCTGAAGGTGAGTAAACTGTCAGCAAATTTTCATTTTGGGTAAACTATTCCTTCTATCCCAACCGTAATGTCACTTATAAATGTTTCTCTCAGTTTGTAGACAATTTGTGTTTATTTGTGTGTTTATGTCTTTTGCAGGAAACTAGTGCTGAAATTCACTAGTTACAGACATGCACGGTGGTGGGGCCAGGCCATTGAAAGCTTTGTCCGGAAACATGGCAAGGCCTTTTTAAGGACCCACCGCTTTGGATCTTTCTTTAGGGAGGAGGAGAACATACCCTCTAAATGGTATATTTAATCTAAGAGGTCTTATTATTCAATCTTAGATCTAAGAGATCTTCTACCCTGTTATTTCTGACAACTAAAAAAAATGAATGTTCAGGTATGTGAATGGCAAAACCTACATGGAGGATGTTGCATTTCATTTTGGGTAAACTATTCCTTCTATCCCAACCGTAATGTCCCTTATAAATGTCTCTCTCAGTTTGTAGACAATTTGTGTGTTTATGTCTTTTGCAGGAAACTAGTGCTGAAATTCACTAGTTACAGACATGCACGGTGGTGGGGCCAGGCCATTGAAAGCTTTGTCCGGAAACATGGCAAGGCCTTTTTAAGGACCCACCGCTTTGGATCTTTCGCCAGGGAGGAGGAGAACATACCCTCTAAATGGTATATTTAATCTAAGAGGTCTTATTATTCAATCTTAGATCTAAGAGATCTTCTACCCTGTTATTTCTGACAACTAAAAAAAATGAATGTTCAGGTATGTGAATGGCAAAACCTACATGGAGGATGTTGCAAATGCGCTGGAGGAGGCCAAAGAGGAGATCTTCATCACAGACTGGTGGTATGTACTCACTGTTTCCCCTCCAAGAAAACATGTTCAGGCAGACAGATAGTCTCGACCCAGCTCACACTATTCCTTGAGCCAATGTTGCTATCACAGGCTGGACAGATTGCTTTAACACACACAGCAATGTTTTGATAGCTCCACAGTGTCACAGTGTTTCCATTTTTCTGGGAAATCAACCTATAAATACCGTTTATATAGTGTGCATATCAGCTGTGTAAAGAAAAAGCAGAGATGACATATATCTCTTTTTTTTGTGGCACGAATGGCAGTCTTGGCTCATTAAAGACAAAACATGGCCAGAGAAAAAAAATCATTTTAACTACTTCTAACTAGTTTTAAGTACTTTGAACTAGTTCTTTGTAGAAGTCTAAAACAGTATAGTGTAGCGGTTACGTTTTTGTTTAGGGGATGCACAACAAAACCTACAGCCTGGATTGATTCTGGTCTTCCTTAAATGGAAAATGTAATTCTTAATCTGATATAAAATGGTGTTTTGTGTTCATTGCTCATTGTTTGGTAATGCGCTGTAATGGAGTTGCTGTAGACACATGCAGAATGTGTGGCAGTGAATCAGCAGCTCAGAATGAGAGGTGTATGTTATACAGCAAGACCAGTATCGCTCACTTCACAGGTATTGAGTTTCAGCCCTCCTTATTTCAAAATTATCTCTCCTGGAATAGACTCCATGGTCTGATCCTCTGTGTGTGAGGGAGTAGGTGGTTATATGAGAAATCGCTGCGTATCTTAATGTGTATTTTCGATGTAGTTGTGCATGTAGAATATGAAATCTCAAACATTCTTTTGATGTAAACCCACATGAAAGTTTGTTTGCAATTAATTATGGACGACTATTCCTTTCCTACACTTAATAACCACTGGTTGAAACTTAAACATCAGAGTAATTAAATTTTGACAAAATATTATTTTACTTTTATTAATGAATTAAAATTATATTATATTATAATGTGTATTATTAATTATTTATTTTATAATAATGTGCACAATAAGACCAGGAACGTGTATTAAGAAATTAAGTCATGTCCATTTTAATCAAATTTAGACTTTAATGGTGGTGTGCTTGTGGTATGCTGTATCTGCTGCATGATTGTGTTTGTAATGTGCAGGCTGAGTCCTGAGATCTTTCTGAAGAGGCCTGTAGTGGAAGGCAATCGCTGGAGGCTCGACTGGATTTTGAAACGCAAGGCTGTAAGTCCCCTCAAGTGCATTTGTCCCTGGTGCCATGCTTATAATTTAAAAGGAATATTAAATTGAAAATACAGACACATATTCAGTTTCAAAGTAAGATTATTTATTTATTTAATTTACTTATTTTATTTTTTACCTATTTATTTACTTATTTGTTTTTAAATTATTTACTTTTTTGAATGAATGAATGAATGATGCATTTTTATAGCGCTTTATTGTGTATTGTTGTTCACCCAAAGCGCGTTACAATCATGTTGGGGGGTCTCTCCTCAACCAATTTTTATTTTATTTATTTATTTACTTTACTATTTACTATTTATTTATTAATTTTTTTAAAGGTGTCATATTATGTTGCTAAAAAGAACATTATTTTGTGTATTTGGTGTAATGAAATGTGTTTATGCGGTTTAAGGTAAAAAAAACACATTATTTTCCACATACTGTACATTATTGTTTCTCCTCTATGCCCCGCCTTTCTGAAACGCGTCGATTTTTACAAAGCTCATCAGTCTGAAAAGCAAGGTGTGCTGTGATTGGCCAGCTATCCAGTGCGTTATGATTGGCCGAATACCTCAAGCGTGTGACGGAAATGTTACGCCCCTACCATACTGTGATGATGCCCTGTCAGGCCGGAACCATAGTTGCCAAGTCCGCGTATTATACGCGACTTTGGGCTTCTTTTTTTTAAAAAGTTGCTTGGAAAAAATCCCAGGTCGCGGGTTGCGGCTTTTTGGGCTTATTTAAAAAAATATGGTTGCTTGTTAGGGAAATCTGACAAGCAACTTCGTTTCTTTATTTATGTTCGCCGTATTCTCCAATGCATTGAATAACACTCTGTCTGCTCGCAGTTAATAGCCAACCAGTGCAATAATATAAGTGCTGCAGCGTAATTTGCCAAATGTTCCGTCCCCTCCTTGGAGAAAATCACGTTCAAAAAGAAGGCGCGTGACGCTGTAATCCAAGCGATAATAGAAGTAGACGTAGAGGAGTAGGATGACTTTATTTTAGCCTATTTTTTTATTTTTACAATGTTTTTGTAATGTTCTGTAATAAAAAACAAGTAGTCCTATACTAATACTAAGAGTAAATATGGTTCGAATAGCCTATATTTTAGTAGGCGATAATAAATAACATTGATGATAATAAATCATCAAAAAATATTGGGCTTGTTTTTGAACCAGCGGTTGCGTATTTGTCTCGCGAGAGTTGGCAACAGTGGCCGGAGCGATGATTCAAAAACATGAAAACCCATTATAAACGAGGCATTCGTTGCATCCAGTGGGGACATGTGGTGGCGGCCTAGAGAGGAGCAGAGGCCGGGGGCTAGAGTGAGGAACGGCCGGAGGGCTAGAGTGAGCAGAGGCCAGGGGCTATAGTGAGGAACGGCCAGAGGGCTGGAGTGAGCAGAGGCGGCGGGCTTGAGAACGGCGCGGCCGGCGGATTCGACGAAGGAGCATCCGGAGGGCTTGCGGCAACCACATGTGACGACCCCGGGCTGGACTCCGCTTCGTCCACGGTGAAAGCCGATACGGCGATCCACAGCGCAAAGTTGTTGTATTTCCTCAGCGACCAGCACGGATCAGCTCCAGGCATGACGAAGCAGATATCGTCCTCTTTTGGAAGGCCAAACAAAGTAGTTTCGCTTTCACAGCGAAACACACAGAGCCTTCACGACATGGCGGCGTGAAGTACTACAGCAATACTACAACAATACTACAGCGTGAAGTACTATAACAATACTACAGCGAGAATAAAAGTTATGCCTTCTTTCTTTGCGTGAACATTTGGGTGGCGTTATGCAAATCTTCCCACATTGTGACGTAGATATGTGGGGGCGTGTTAGAACGAGCCGTTTTAGGTAGGTGTGGCTGACTCTTAACTTTTATAAAGAATATCTCTTTGGATTTGAGACTTTAGTCTTTGCAACTTTACAGATCTTCTTTATGCACCAAGAGCTTGTAACACTCCAAAGAGAAAGGAAAAATTTTAATCGCATCATATGACCCCTTTAATTTTAGCGACAAGGAGTGCGGATCTTTGTTATGCTGTATAAGGAAGTGGAGTTGGCGCTCGGCATCAACAGTGAATATAGCAAAAGAACACTAATGCGCCTTCACCCAGATATTAAGGTAAGCTATTTGTGATTTGATCTTCTTTTGCATATCTTGCGTGACATCACATGCGATTGTAACTGTTCCTGTCTCTTAACAGGTGATGAGGCACCCTGATCATGTGTCCTCCTCTGTCTACTTATGGGCACACCACGAGAAGATTGTAGTCATCGACCAATCAGTTGCTTTCGTTGGGGGAATTGACCTTGCGTATGGCCGCTGGGATGACCGTGAGCACCGACTGACAGACGTGGGAAGTGTAACACGCTGTGTTGCTCAGGGCATGGAGCAGGTTCGAGACATCATCATGTTCCATAAAAACATGCTACATTTGGCTACATTATTTGTACCACACCCATGGATGATATCACTGTTTGGCTTTGAAGTTTTCATGTTTCTGCCAGTTATAATGAAGTGGAATTATGTCTGTTTTGGGACTCAGGGACTGGATTCATCCACGCCCAGGAAAAAAGTGTCCACCAGTGGAAACAGCAGCCGGTCGATGGTCGATGACTCAGTGGACCTGCCCAAACTAAAAGGCATTGGCCGCACTCGCAAAACACGTTTCAGTCTGTACCATCACATCCAACGTGGCCTTCACCATGCTGACAGCATCAGTAGCATCGACAGCACAAACAGTAAGTGACTCTTTCGTGACCAAACTAAAATTGATTCCACAATACAATCTGTGTTTTTCTCTGATGAGTCTGCTGATGACTAATTCCCCTGTGACCTTAACAACTAAAAAAAGTATTCTTAAAGGGATAGTTCACTGCAAAATGAAAAGTGTCATTGCTTACACACCCTCATGTCGACTAACTTTCGTCCATGTACTAGTCACATTTTTTTCCATTTACAGTAGTTATAATACATGGGATTGGACTGGACTGTCATTTTTGCTTATAGGTGTTCAGATCCACACCCCATTTTTTGGCAGCCACCTTACTGTATTTCACCTGTAAATGACATGAAATTTGAAAAGCTGTAAATGACATGAATTTTTCTGGAACCATAGGAAGATGATATCATGGCAGCATAGATTAGCTGATGGCCCCATAAGAATGCATATGTATATATGTAAAATGAATATGACATGAATATGAATATAACATGTCTACGAGCATACATGGGGGATGCAATTTTAAACCCATCTTGCAATTATCATAATCCAGTTATCACAAAATATTGAAATCCTGTTATAACTCTAGACTATGTGGATCAATAAATGGGGCAAAAAGTCAAACATTCTCTGTTACTTCTTAATGTCAGTGAGTCTGTGGATCTTGTCTGTATTTTTCTTCTCTGTTGGATGTGCAGTGATGCTTATCCTTTCTGGCTTCTATCGTAGGTGTAGCTTTAGACACCCTGCCTGGGCCCGAGCGATTGCCCCATCCTTTTCTTGCTTTAGCTCTTTCTGTTTGTTCTCCCTGCCATAGAAGGCACACATATAGATCGGTTTGCAGTCTGTCTGAGAGAGGATTAAGTGTATTTGAGACTAGCTTAAAGACTAGACAGCAGATATATGCTTTAATTAAATTACTTTGACCTCAGGGTAGATTTCATTTGTCGCTGATTCTTACACTAAAGTCACATTAATTTGCTATTAAGATAACTAATCATTTGTTTCCAACTAATTCTTCAGTTTTAGATTATGGTATGATGCTGTGGATAAATCTAAAATATTACACATGCAGTAGCTATCAATGTCATGGAAAAGGATGGTCCAAATGTGTCAGTAATATGATGTTTGTTTGTTTGGTCTGATGTCAGTTATTTAAATTATTGCTGAACTGTTACAAAAACTTTTTTCATTTGCAACATGTACATTTCAGCAAATACAGTAGGGTTTCAGAAGAGAAATTATAAGCGTCAAAGTCTTTTATTTTTAATCTAAATAAATACATTTATTGAAAATAAATCATGAAAAATTAAAAGAAATATTCAGAATTCTGCATTGTTTTAGACACACGATATCCCTTAATATATAAGGAATTATAAGAGTATAGGAATTGCATTCTATTAAAACAATTATATGAGTAATTTATATAAAATGAAAAAAACTATATTTAAATTATTTTCTCTAGTTTATTTCTAATATATTGTAATATAATTCTAATATACATATTTGATTGTAATATATAAAAATACAAAATTGCAATTTAAAATACTTACAATTTAAGTAATTATTCATCATGTATTTTGAACATGTATCATATACTGTATATTCTACACAAACACACACAAATCAGTCAAGTCCTGATTGCACCTGTGGTTACACTCTTCATGAAAAAAAAGTTAAATTAGTAGATCTGAAAGTAACTCATAAGTCGTTTTATTTTAAAAGATCCTTTAAGTTTTATAACCGTTTTGTATGTCTTGTGTGTTCAGAGAGTGGCTCAGTGCACAGTCTTCAGACAGGAGTGGGAGAGCTGATGGGAAACACTCGCTTCTGGCACGGCAAAGACTACTGCAACTTTGTGTACAAAGACTGGGTTCAGCTGGACAAGCCTTTTGATGGTGAGCCACACATTTTACTGCCTGGCCGCTTTTTGCTTTCTTCATTTCAATGATCATTAATCCGGATAGTCCAAGGTTAATTGTGTTATCAAACGCAGTCTTTTCGATGCATTTCAGATGTTTACAATCCTGCTTTTTAACACTATGCTCGACTATAGATTTTATTGACAGGTACACAACCCCCAGAATGCCCTGGCATGATATCTCCTCAGTGGTGCATGGGAAAGCAGCCAGAGATGTGGCCAGGCACTTTATACAGCGCTGGAACTTCACCAAAGTGAGATATTTACCACCCCTTTGCCTGGGCCATGACCCGCACACTTTAAACTTATTTATGTTTAGACAAGCTTCTGAATTGTCTTCTGTGCATTTCTTGAATTTTACTTTAAGCTGTGACAATTTGATGAAGCATTATTTGGTTCTGTCATAGTAAACTGACTTTTCTCTCCTTTAGATAATGAAGCCAAAGTACAGGTCACTCACCTACCCATTTCTCCTACCCAAATCTCACAGCACAGCCAATGATCTAAAGTACCAAGTGCCAGACTGTGTCCAGACCAAAGTCCAGGTGAGAACGCATTAATGGCTGTAGCTGTAACTGTTAGAGTGTGATACTAGGAACATCATATGCCTACTGATAAAAAATGGATACCTTGCATGCACAATAAGTAACTTTGCCATAAATGCCCATAAAAATGGCCATAAATGTAAATGGTCTCTCAGGTTCTGCGGTCAGCTGCAGACTGGTCGGCGGGAATCAAGCACCATGAGGAGTCCATTCATAATGCCTATATTCAGGTCATTGCCAAGAGCAAGCACTTCATCTACATTGAGGTACACAATCCCCCACTTTCACTTTGTCTGTCAGCATTCAGTGATATGATTCAAATGTGTTGACAGCTATTTAGTAGTTTAGATGCAAAATGTGTAATAAGTTGTAAAACAACGTTGACATTTCAGTTGCTTCATATTATTGACAAATGACATGCAGCAGTGGTTATCAGAGCATTTTGGGGGGAGATGCCAAGAATTATTCAGTGGAAATTCTACAAGAACCATGACTTGGATATTCACCAAGTTAAAACAAACTAATAAAATCTATATAACTGGAAATCTACTTTTAAGATAACTTATAACAAGAGATTACAAGAATTTATAATACGAGATGATAAGAGAACTTAAATAATCGTATTTTACTGTGGCCCAGCAGAAGTAAAACTTGTTCACCTAACTTGCCTGATGAATTGAAATCGATTGTTCCTGTTTCATTGTTTTGCTTCAGAACCAGTTCTTCATCAGCTGTGCCGATAACAAACATGTTTACAACAAGATTGGTGACGCCATTATTGAGCGAATCATCAGAGCTCACAAGTAAGTGTGAGAGTCCTAATGCATTAACACTGATTGTCGATCATTACCATTAAGTGGAGCAGAGGATCTTAGTAGGGATGTGCAAGTACAGAAGCATCATGCACATTTATTGTAACAAAAAAAAAGTGGTTAGCTAATTTCTGACACAGCATTTTACAGATCATTCACTGATCATTTGCTAGAAGGTTTTCAGTACAACAAAAATACAAAGTAATGTGCAATTCAGAGACAATTGAGACTGACAAATGTATTTATTTAAAAAAGGTAAATATATATATATTAAAAAAAAAATGTTTATGTAAAAAATATTGTATTGTATTGTAATAGATCAACTGTAATTGCCCCCCAACATGTTTAACAAAACACTTCTCTGGGAGAAGAGACATTCGTAATGACTTTATGATCATGGAGGCTGCACACAGATTAAACACAAGAAATGCTGCTAAAGTGAAGTGGGTTGGAAAGGATGTTTTACCATTTAATGGCAATGGAAGTGAGGGTATTTGATTTAAGAATAAGCATGTAGACTGACAAATGTATTTATTTAAAAAAGGTAAATATATATAAAAAAAAAAAATGTTTATGTAAAAAATATTGTATTGTATTGTAATAGATCAACTGTAATTGCCCCCCAACATGTTTAACAAAACACTTCTCTGGGAGAAGAGCCATTCGTAATGACTTTATGATCATGGAGGCTGCACACAGATTAAACACAAGAAATGCTGCTAAAGTGAAGTGGGTTGGAAAGGATGTTTTACCATTTAATGGCAATGGAAGTGAGGGTATTTGATTTAAGAATAAGCATGTGAATATTTCCATGGATATATCGCATTGATGTTAGCTATAATGTGTCACAGGGAGAAGAAGTTGTTCCGTGTGTATGTGGTGACTCCCCTGCTGCCTGGATTCGAGGGAGACATTTCCACAGGAGGAGGAAGTGCACTCCAGGCTGTTATGCATTTTAACTACAGGTAAGAATGAAACTGTTGCTGTGCACGTGTCTTTGAGGAAAAAAAGGGCAGCTCAGGTCAGACAGTAAAAATCAGACCACCTGAGTCTCATACATAATTTGGCACTCACAAAAAAGAATGGGATTGTGATCCCAGATGAATGTTTTTATTATTATTTTGCAGGATAGAAAGTATAAAAACAGTTAATTTTAGGCAAGATGAGGCATGTTTAAATAGTTCATGCACAGATTAATTTGGTTTCAATGCAGGAAATAGATTTTTTTTGGAGGGGGGGTGTAATACAACCTGCATTACTTTTGCTAGCATGTCCTCATTGGTTGTCATGGTAATGGTTCAAACTTGCATAGGTTTGCCATGTATGAGACTTTAGCAATGGATATTTTGCTATTAAGGATGCTTTTTTGCAGTATCGGCAGTATCAAAATCTTTATGCGGACAACAGCATAAATATCTGGAAAGGGTGAATGACAAAAACAAAAACAAAAACAAAAAAAACACATGAAATCTGATTTGATGGATCTATCCTTCTGATCTATCTGATCTCAGTAACAAAAGTCTGGGTGTTTGGTGTTATCGTATTTAAATATTTAATATTTAAAACCACTTTCGAAGGTGGTCTTAATGTGGTGTTTGTTTTTCTGCAAATTTGAAAAAAATTTTAGGGAAATTAATACTTTTATTCAGTGACACCAACAGTGACAGTAAAGACTATAATGTCACAAAAATTCCTATTTCAAAAAAATGCTGTACTTTTGAACTTTCTATTCATCAAAGAATCCTGGAAAAAAAATATATCAGGTTTAACATTGATAATAATAAGCAATGTTGCTTGGGCATCAAATCAGCATATTAGAATAATTTCTGATCATGTGACACTGAAGACTGGAGTAGTGATGCTGAAAATTCAGCTTTGCCATCACAGGAATAAATTACATTTTAAAATATATTCCAATTGAAAACAGTTATTTGAAATATAATGCAAATAAATGCATCCTTGGTGAGCATAAGAAACTCAGAAAAACTTTAAAAAAGCTCAGATACTTAAATGTTTTGAATATTTCATATTTAGATGTAATGTAACTTTTTTGTAACTTGTAATGTAACCTGTAACTTTTAAATGGTATAGTGATATCACTATGAAATATAGTGATTAGTTTATAGTTTGACAAAATGAGACTGAATTTGTATTTGTATTTTTCATACTGTTGCATTTCATAGTTAAAAAAAGAAAGCTAATGTATGGAAATTGATTGTTTTCATCATTATTTGATTGGATCATGAACTTTAGAACTGAAATATGTTATACTATAATTCTTTTGCCTAACATTATTTTTCCATTAGCAGAAAAAATAGTTTCAGAGACTGACAATGCTACATTACATTGACTTTTTACCTTTTCAGTGTCATTTATCAACAAATTATTCACATTTATTAAGAGTTAGAGCAGTGAATGTGGTTGGTGTTTTGAAAACCAAAGTGTGTGCCATGTGCACAGAGCAGACTTGACTGCCTGTTTCTGCATTGTCATTCATGAGTTCACAGCAGTAGCTGGTTTCCCAGTGACGCAGTTAGCACTTCCTCTTTAGTGAACTCGGACGCATTCTCTCCTCTCCTTCCCTGATTAAGCTTTAATGAGTCTGACAGCACCCTAAACAGCTTCACAGCTTCTTTCATCTCTATCAGAGAGGAAGCGCTAGCAGCCCTGATCTACCAGACAAGCCTGATTTCATCCTGCAGTCAGGCATATTTATCCTCATCTTCACAATAACCTTGCGAGCATGCTCTCTGCATATCATTTGGATGAAAGCAGGAATTTGTCTAAGAAAATTGTAAATGTCGCTGATGTGAGGATAATGACCCGTGTTAGACAGTGCGCCTTTGTTTTCCAATACCAGCTTACCAATTCATTCCATTACACACGTAAGAGGCACAGCCAAGTGTTAGATGCTTGTTCCACTCGTCTGGAAAACAAATGGAAATAGGCAGTGCTTTAGTGTCACATTAAACATGGAAAACTGCCGTAAGGGTTATTTATTTATTTATTTATTGAGGGATTTTTTTTTTTACATTTGCCAGATATTTCTCTCTCTTTTTTTTTTTGCAGCTCCCTGTCACATTTCACGTGGCAGTGCAGGTTTACTGGTTTGTTTGTTTTTTTGGGGAGATACCTAGGTAACCTAAAGAATAATGTGAAGTTATTGAGGGAACACTGTGATAACTTTGTGATAACATTTGAAAAAAACATCTAATTATGGCCTGAATGTCTATTTTTGTAGGACCATGAATAGAGGAGAGTACTCCATAATTGCTCAACTAAAGAAAGAAAGTAAGTCTGATTATTCCCATCCCTCTTCTTTCTCTCTCTCCGAGCATGTTGGTTATCGTGGAAGGAACGATAAGCTGACATGATTGTGACATAATTGAATGTGAACCTGACTCTGTGGTGAGTGAGTTTTCCTCTGACCTGCTTATGGAGAATTCATAATGGAAAAACACGCAGCCTGTTTAGTGTTGGTCTTCATCTTTCTTTCTTTCTTTCTTTCTTTCTTTCTTTCTTTCTTTCTTTCTTTCTTTCTTTCTTTCTTTCTTTCTTTCTTTCTTTCTTTCTTTCTTTCTTTCTTTCTTTCTTTCTTTGAAAAACAAAAATACAAAATTAGAGAACAAAAATAAATGGGTGAATACAGAGAAGGAAGCAAATACAATTATTTAAAAAATGTTATATAATGTGGGAAGTTTAAGCTTTTAATTGGAGATGATGAAGTGATGATAATAGTAAACGTAAATCTGAGGGTTTGTTTGTTGATGAAAAGATAATTAAAGGGTTAGTTCACCCAAAAATGAAAATTAGCCCATAAATTACTCACCCTCAAGTCATCCTATGTGTATATGACTTTCTTCTTTCAGACGATTCCAGTCGGAGTTATATTAAAAATTGTCTTTGATCTTTCAAGCTGTTTCATGGCACTCAGCGGGTGTTGCATG